TTGATGGGTGGTTGGGAAAATGGAGACAATGTTAGAGGGAAGGGGACTGGTGGTGGGATTGGTATTGGAATACTGAATGCCTGTAACAAATAACCATTAACATCTTTGTAAATCAAAGTGTTTTAAAAAGTGTGAAGGGAGGGGGAGAAATAAGTAAATAAAAATGAGGGTAAATCATTAAATGGAAAAAAACCCTCCAAAAAAGAATATTCTACTCATCTAGGTTATCACTCAGATTTAAAGTAAGAATTTAGAGCTTTTCAGAGAAACACAGACAGAGCCATACATTCATCAACATTAAACAAGCCCTTCAACAAATACCAAATAAATCAAATAACAAATACCAAATGGCAAATACCAAGGTAAAACATACACTGCCTAAAAGTATCAGGATCTATAGGCATAAAATGTGGGCTAGAAGGTGATTAGCAATAAGGACTCCATTTTAAAGTTTATTAATTTTTATTGCTATTGCCTTTCATACTGAAAAAAATTGAATGGAACGAACAGGGTGAGAGACTGTCTGAGTTCATCATGTCAACCAGGACCATCCATGGTTATTCACAGTTCCAGAAGGCAGAATCTAAACATTGGACATGGGAGTCTCCCGGTGGACGATTCCACAATGAAATAGACCACATCACATTCAATCGGCGGTTTTGCCTAACCGATGTTGCTGTTGTCCCAAAATTCCGAACGGGATCAGACCACCGTCTCCTTCGTGCAAAATTCTACTTCACAGAGCAGGGAGAAAGGGCTGCAAAGTTCAAAAAGAGAAATCCCAGAATGACCACCAACTGGGAACTCTTTGGCACTATTGCGGCAACATGGGAAGATGCCATTGTTGACAACATTGATGAGGAATATGATCGACTGGTTCAGCACCTCCATGAATGTGCAAGGAACGCCAAGAGAGAGATAGCCACAAAAAAATGCCTGTCTTCGAAAACTCTTGAGCTAATTCGCCAGCGTGGTTTGGCGCATGCCTCAGGCAACCGCAAGCTAACGTCTGAGCTCGCAAAGCAGTGCAGAGATGCGATCAAGGAAGACTTCAAAGAGAGAAGAGCAGAAGTGCTGGCAGATGTGGCAGAAGCTGGGAAAAGTATTCGTAACGCCTGCCTGTCCTTCGCCAACTACAAGACCAAGATGACTGCCCTCCGACATCCTGATGGATCCATCACATCCTCCAGAACGGCAATGGAGATTATCCATGACTTCTACTCAAATCTCTTCAATAGCCATGTCCACTTGCCGACATACCAAATTCCACAGGATGGATATGTCGTTCCCAACGTTCTCCCTTCCGAAATCCGACATGCCATTTCATCGGTAAAGAAACAAACAGCACCAGGCCCAGACAAGGTCAGACCTGACCACCTGAAAAACCTGCCGTCAGTACTCATCAATACACTGGCTCGGCTCTTCACTCACTACCTGTCTGAATGCAAGGTTCCATCCCAATGGAAAACCAGCAGGACCGTACTACTGTTCAAGAAGGGAGACATCCATGACATTGGCAACTATCGCCCAATCTGCCTATTGTCTGTCATCTACAAGTTATTCACTCGAGTCATCCTAAATAGGATTGGCAGAACACTAGATGAAGGACAACCATGCGAGCAAGCCAGGTTCCACAAAGGATTTAGCACCATCGACCATATCCACACGATAACCAAGCTCATTGAGGTTTCTCGGGAGTTCAAGATGCCACTCTGTTTAACGTTCATTGATTTAAAGAAGGCCTTTGATTCTGTTGAGACAGAAGCGGTCATTGAAGCCCTAGCCAATCAGGGCATTCAAGCCCCATACATCAAGATCCTCCATGAGCTGTATTGCGGATTCACTATCAGGATCTCACCATTCTACAAAGAAGTGATCGTTGATGTCAAGAGAGGGGTTCGGCAGGGTGATACCATTTCACCGAAACTCTTCAGTGCCACCCTCGAGAACATCATGCGACGACTGGAATGGGAAGGAATGGGAGTGAAGATAGATGGTCGGCAACTACACCACCTCCGCTTTGCTGATGACATTGTTTTAATAACACCAAACATCAGCCAAGCGGCACAAATGCTGGCCGACTTTGACCATGAGTGTGGAAAGGTAGGACTACAGCTGAATCTTACGAAGACAATGTTCATGAGAAACAGCCTCGTTCCTGACGCCCCATTCGCTCTCAACGGAACAACCATCTCCGAATGCAACAGCTATGTGTACCTAGGTCGAGAAGTCAACATGACAAATGACCTGGCACCCGAGCTGCGCAGAAGGAAGAGAGCGGCTTGGAACGCCTTCAAGAACGTCGAAGAAATAGCTAAGAGGACAAAGAACCTCCAGCTCCAGGCACATCTCTTTAATTCCACTGTTCTTCCTGCATTAACATGTGCCTCAGAGACCTGGGCCCTACACAAATAGGATGAGAACGCTATTCAGGTCTCCCAAAGAAGAATTGAAAGAGCTATGCTTGGAATATCACGTTTCACTCAAATGAGAGAAAGAATCCAGAGTTCCGACATCCGTCGACGATCAAGAATCAGGGATGCTGTCTCATTTGCCAAGGTGTCAAAAATCAGATGGGCTGGTCACGTAATGAGATTTAAAGACGACCGCAGGACTAGAGCTGTTACCGACTGGATTCCAGGGGATGTCAAAAGACCGCATGGCCGCCCACGTACCAGATGTCAGACTTCTTCGTCAAGATCATGAACGATCGGTTTGAGGCTCTTCATGTTCCCGGAGTGAACAGATGCCATTGGGCTACACTAGCACGCTACAGGGACAAATGGAGACGTTACTGGCGCCCGCTCGAGCAAATCGACGACTAACGGGAAGTTAAGTGATTAAGTGATTAAGTGCTATTGTCATTCTATTAAAATTTCAGATATTGTATTTTTATTTGTTTTTTTGGGGGGTGTGCCGTATGAGACAGTGATTAGAGGTTGTGTCCCAGTGGTGTTAAAAGGACTATTGAGGGGCTGGAGTGATAGCACAGGTGGTAGGGCGTTTGCCTTGCATGCAGCCAACCCGGGTTCGAGTCCCAGCATCCCATATGGTCCCCTGAGCACCAAAAGGAGTAATTACTGAGTGCAGAGCCAGGAGCAAACCTTGTGCATCGCTGGGTGTGACCCAAAAAGCAAAAAAAAAAAAAAAAAAAAGAACTATTCAGTGCCAAGGTCTGAACTGGGGTCAGCCAGATACAAGGCAAGTGCTATATACCCTTGTAAAATCTCTCTGGACCTGGATATTGTATTTTGATTCTAAAATTTATAGTTTTCAAATAATACTAGGTTTTATATATTAATTTTTAGCTTATTTTCTATCCCATCATTAAATATAGTTAGATGTTTACTATTATTCTGCTGAATTCAACATTAGCCTCGAATTGGGGATTATCTAAATTGTCTGGATTCTTTGTTGAATAATTTTGGATTTAAAAAGGTGAGCATAATTTAAATAAAAAGCAGACATTATTGAACTGAAAGCGAATTCCCTGGGCTGAATTTAGAGAGCCATTAGAGACCATCAGAAATCTATTACTCAGGAAATTACACATCATTGAGAGGAACCATAGTAAATACTGTTTAGCTTAAATGAAGAAAATAATAATATTCATAAATTGCACGTCTTGATTTATTGACAAATGCCATAATAATAATCATAATGGGTCCAAGTAATATCTGAAAAAAATGTAAGTCACCCACATAAGTCAGATATTTATAAGGATTTTATGTCAATGTAGGTTGAACTGAAGTTTTAGAAAATCAAAACTCCTACTGAAAAGTTAAGGAGTTTTTACAAGCTCTATTGAAACATTGGCAAATGTTCTATAATAGTTTATTTTGGAGAAGAAAAATGTATTAACAGAATTGACTCCCTTCAAAAGCATTTTGAAGCATTTAATGTCTAAATCAAAGTAATTTTCAGTATGTATTGTCTCAATTCATAAAACAAATCAGAAATTTGTGGCCAAGTAATTGAATCTTTAGGACAATAATTTATTTAAATAACTTCAGAGTTTTGCCTTTGTACATCATAATAGCAACACCCAAATCACAATTTGGGCCTTTAAGGCAGAAACTTCTAGTTTTCTAGAACTACTGCAACAAAATAATAATTCCAGATATAGATAATATAAGAAATTTTTCTAGTATTTCTGGAGGCTAGATATACAAGGTCAAATTGTCAACAGGGTTTAGTCTTCTTGCATTGGCTATTTTCTTACTATGTCCTCATGTTATAAAGTTTCCTACGTGAAAATGGATGGACATGGAGAATATCATGCCAAGTGAAATGAGTCAGAGAGGGACAGACATAGAATGACTGCGCTCATTTGTGGAAAATAATGTAATATGAGACTAGCACCTAAGTAGAGTAAAGACAAGGGCCAGGAAGATTGCTCCATGGTTGGAGCCTACTTCATGAGCTGGGGAGAAGACAGCTGGAATAGAGAAGGGATCACTAAGTGAATGATGGTTGGAGGATCTCTTAGGATGGGAGATGTGTGCTAAAGTAGATAAAGGACCAAACATTATGGCCTCTCAGTATCTGTATTGCAAACCATAATGTCCCAAAGTAGAGAGGGAGTAAGAAGAAAAGTGCCTGCCATAGAGGCAGAGGTTGGGGTCGGTTGGGGGGTGGAGGGAGAGATACTGGGGATATTGGTGATGGGAAAGGTACACTGGTGGAGGGATGGGTGTTTGATTATGGTATGACTGAAACTCAAATCATGAAAGTTTTCTCGCTATCCCATGGTGATTCAATAAAAAAAATGTTTCCTATGTAAAGGCATTTCTACTCTGCTTATGTGTGCAAATTTCTTTACTTGGATTAAAATCTGCTCTAACAAGTTGTTTTATAATTGCCTCTTTTATAAAGACCCTATCTGCAAATAACTACATTCTGAGGTGCAGGGATGCAGGAATGTGGGGAGGCGGGGATGCTGCTGGGCGGCCTCCCCGGGGCATCCCGCCCCGCCCCCGTCTGCCTCCCGGGCTCCAACGTCACAGGCGCGGGGCAGGACCTGGGCCGGGGCCAAGCTGACAGCCGCAGAGGCACCGCGCCAACAGCCGGCGGCGGGGCGCGCTCATAATCCGGCAGGGGGCGCAGCCGCTCAGCATTTCGCCCGCTGCCAGGGGCAATGCGAAAGCCGGCCGCAGGGGATCATTCCCGGGTTCACGGGCAGCGGGGGCAACCACTTCCCAGGCGAGGCACCGGGGCTCAGCCGGCTCGCTGAGGGGCGACCGAAAGGCAGCCCTTGGGCTCCCGGATACACGTGAGTGCTGGGGCAAGTCCAGGACAAAGCGCTGGCTGGTCCCTTATCGATCACCCCCGCGCCAGGGGGCGTAGGTACGCTTGGTCCAGCAGCCAGCCCCCAACGCCTTCGGGAGCCCGGCAGCGGCCGCCAGTCGCAATGACTTCACAACCGAGACCCGGAGGACCGCTCTTCCCCTCCAGGACGGGTGGGCAGCGTGAACTCCTCACAAAGTCTCGTGGGCCGGCCCCTCCTGGCCACGCCCCCGTCGCCACCCCTTTTCCCTTCTGGACCTATCCAAGGAGGCGTGTGGCACGGGGAGGCGGGGCCTCGCGGAGGGTCGACCCGCCCCGCCTTTCGAGCGGGCAGGCACGGAAGCCGGCCGCAAGGGGGAGGGGCACGGAAGCGATCCGAGCTCCTATTGGCCGGGCGGAGCGCGGGAGAGGCGGGCCGAGCCGGCCGGGGGCTGCGATAGGCGGGGCGCGCTTGAGTGGCGGCCAGGGCCCCTGCGCTGGAAGCCAGGGCGTGTTCGCGCGGAAAGGGACTCGGCCCCGCAGGGGTAGGTCTTAAAGCGCGGCCCAGGTGGCCTCCGGGCGGTCGCGGGAAGGCGGCCAAGGCAGCCCGGGCCGCAGCGCCCCCGGCCCCGGTTCCCCTTAAACACGTCAGCCCGGCCCGCGAGTCTGCAACCCGGCCGGAGGCTTAGGGCGCACGCCCCAAAGGTTCCGCCCCGAACCCGGGGCTCTGCAGATGGGCCATAGCCCCTGCACCCCGGGGAGCCTCAGCCGCCTGCTCTGGGCGCGCGGCTACAGAGACACACTGGCACCCAGTGGGACGTGTGTGTCTGTGTGTGTGTGTGTGTGTGTGTGTAAAGAGTTCAGTATTGTTGCAGGATGGTAGCTTGCCAGACTGCATGGTGAAGCACCCTGGGGGAGAGGGGTGTGTGTGTATGCGTGTGCATACGCGTTCGTCTGTGCACAATGGAAAGTTCAGGATTGGGTGTGTGTGTGTGTGTGTGTGTGTGTGTGTGTGTGTGTGTGTATGTGTGCACGTATGCACAATGAAAAGAGTTCAGAATGGTTGCAGGATGGCAGTTGCAGAGTTGAATGGTGAAGCACCCCAAGGAGAGGGGTGTGTGGGTGTGTGTGTGTACGTGCGTGTACACGTATACACAATGGAAAGAGTTCAGGATTGTTGCAGGATGGCAGTTTGCAGGATTGCATGGTGAAGCATCCTGGGGAGAGGGGTGTGTGTGTGTGTGTGTGTGCATGTGCGTGTGTGCACAATGGAAAGAGTTCTGAATTATTGCAGGATGGCACTTTGCAGGGTTGTATGGTGATGCACTCCGGGGAGAGTGGTGTGTGTGTGTGCACAATGGAAAGAGTTCAGGATTGTGTGTGTGTGTGCACGTATGCACAAAGGAAAGAGGTCAGGATGTTTGCAGGATTGCATGGTGCAGCGCCCTGGGGAGGTGTGTATGTACGTGCGCGTGCACACATGCACAATGGAAAAAGTTCGGGCGGTTTGCAGGATTGCGTGATGCAGCACCCCAGGGAGAGGTGTGTATGTGTGTTTGTACACATGTCCACAATGGGAAGAGTTCAGGATTGGGGTGTGTGTGTGTGTGTGTGTGTGTGTGTGTGTGCATGTATGCAGAATGGAAAGATTTCAAGACTGTTGCAGGATGGCAGTTTGCAGGTTTGCATGGTACAGAGCCCCAGAGAGGTGTGTGTTTGTATGTGTGTGTGTATGCACAATGGAAAGTTCAGGAATGGTGTGTGTGCGTGTGTGTGTGTGTGTGTGTGTGTGTGTGCACAATGGAAAGGGTTCAGGATTGTCCCGAGATGGCAGTTTGCAGGATTGCATGGTGAAGCGCTGTGGGGAGAGGGGGTGTGTCTTTGTGTGTGTGTTTGTGTGTGCACGTATGCACAATGGAATGAGTTCAGGATTGCTGCAGATGGGCAGTTTGCAGGGTTGCATGGTGCAGCACCGCTGGGAGAGGGTTATATCGATTATATAGATGCAACCTCGCCCCGGCCAGGCCTGGAGGTCAGGGGCCGCTGTTTCAAATCTGCTAAAGCATCAACGTTGCTATCCAGACAGTAACATGGAGCTTGAGGACAGCGGCCCCCACCGACCCTGGTGCTGTTGGCAAACTGGGATGCATTCCATGGGGATCCTCGGGAATTCGGATCTCTGCAGATGTTACTTGTTTTGGCATCTGGAATTGTGATCTCAGCAGATGTTTCTCTACCCTCTCTCCACCCCCCAAAGTTCCGTAAAAATCTAGGGAAAATAATAAAATAAGAACGGGGGGGGGTGGCAAATACCTTGGGCCTTATTCGTGTTTCCAGTCAAGGAATAAAGATATATGATGTGTTGTTTGTGTGGTATCTGTGTGTCTGTGTATGTCGGTGTAAGACATGTGTGTCAGTGTCACTATGTATTTGGCTGTGTGTCTATATATCAGTTGTCACTCTGTGCATGTGGCTGTGTGTCTGTTTATCTATGTCTGTCTATATTTCTGTGTGTGTTCATGTGTCTGTAAGAATGTGTCAATGTATGTTTGTTTCTCTGTGTGTCTGTGTACATGTTTGTGTATGCGCATATGTCGATGTATCTGTAAATGACTGTGTGTGTGGATATGTGTGGCGCATGAGTGTGTTATTGTGTGTGTTTATCTCAGTGTGTCTTGTGATTATGCCTATTTATATATCTGTGGCTCTGTGTGTCAGTATATATGTTAGTGTGCATTTTGATGGTGTCTCTCTATATCTGTCTCTGTGTGCATGTGTCAGTATATATGTCTGTGTGTTTCTGTGTGTCTGTGTGTATATTTCTCTGTGTGACTGTGTGTGCCCACATGTCTCTGTATTGTCTGTGGGTCTACATGTTGAAATGTTTCTGTGTATGACTGTGTGACTCTCAGTTTGTGTAAGTCTGTGTCTGCATGTTCATGTCTGTGTATATGTATGTCTCTGTGTGCATATGTTTGTGTCTGTGTGCATATGTGTCAGTGCATGTGTCTGTGTGTACACACCTGTCTCTATGGTCATTTTTCTGTGTGTGGCTATAAATATGTCTGTGTGTCTGTGTATATGTCTGTGCTTGCAATTTTGTGTCTGTGTCTCCGTGTATCTATCTATGTCTCTGTGTTGATATGTCTATGTGTGGTATATGTCTGTTATCTGTGTGTATACTTATAAATGTATGTTTGTGTTTACCTGTGTATACTCTCTGCATATGTCTGTGCTGGACACATGTTTGTATTTTGTATATGGGTATATATCTGTGTTGACTGTGAATATCTGTATTTGTGTACATGTGTGTGTGTCTTGTATATATGTGTGTTTCTGAGTGTCTGTGTATATATCTGAGTATGTGTGTTCACATGTGTTTCTGTGTACATGTCTGTCTCTGTGTGCATATTTTTCTTGCATCTGTGTTTGCATGTTTTTGTGTGTTTACATGTATATGTCTGTGTTTCTATGTGTATAAATATCTGTGTATTTGTGTGTGGAGGTGTCTATGTATGTCTATGAGAGTCTACGTGTGTGTATATTTCTTTTGTGTGTGCATGCTTACATGCCTGTGTTTCTGTGTGTTTTTCTATGTTTCTATATGAATGTGTCTGTGTATATGTCAGTGTATATGTATCTATGTGTATGCATTTGTGTATATGCAGGTGTATATCTGTGTGTTTGTGCATCTGTCTCTGTGTACATTGTATCTACCTGTGCATGCTGTATATATGTCTGTGTCATTGTGTGTGCATGTGTGTCTACCTCTGTGAGTGTCTATATATTTGGGTGTCTGTGAGCATGTGTATTGTATATGTCAGTGTATACGTATTTTGGCGTATGGATATGTGTGTAACTGTCATGTGTATGTCTATGTGTACATGGGTGTCTCTGTCTGTAAATATGTCTGTGTTTGTGTGCATGTCTCTGTGTGTCTGCATGTGTGTTCATCTGTGTATATGTCTGTATGTGTATGTGTATCTATGTGTGCACCTATGTGTGTCTCTGGATGTTGATATATTTATAATTTTGCGTCTGTGAATACATCTTTTATGTTTCTGTGTGCGCATTTGTGTGTCTGTGTGTGACTGTGCATATGTATGTGACTGCATATGTCTCTGTGTGGATGTGTGTGTTTCTGTCTACATATTTCTGTGTGTGAGCAAATGTGTCTGTGTATATGTCTGTATGTGTATGTTTAGTTGTGTGCTTCTGTGTGACTTTGTATTTGTGTGTAAGCATGTGTGTCTACGTATGTGTGTATATTTGTGTGTCTGTGTATATATCTGGGTGCATGTGTCTATATTTCTGTGGATATGTCTGTGTTTCTATGTGTGCATATGAGTTCGTATGTATATATGTCTTTGTATACCTGTGTGTGCAAATGTGTCTGTGTATATGTCTATGTGTTCATGTGTGTATCTGGAAATGTTCCCATGTGTTTGTGTACACATGTTGCATTTCTGTGCATGTGCATTTGTATATAAGTCTGTGTGTGTTGGTGTAACTGTATGCATGTGTTTATGTGTGTCTCTGTGTTTATGTGTGCCTCTCTGTGTGCCTGTGTTTGTATATAGGTCTGTGCGTTCACGTGTCTCTGAATATGAGTGTGTGCATCAGTGTTTCTGAGTGTTTTTGTGTATATGACTGTGTTTCTGTGTATATGCATGGGTATGTATCTTTGTATATATCTTCTGTGTCTGTGTGTTCATGTGGGTACATGTTAGTGTATCTGTGTGTCTCTGTGTATGTGCATGTGTATGTATCTGTGTAAATGTGTGTATCATGTGTGCATGTCTGAGTGTATATGCCTATGTGTCTGTGTGTTTATGTGTTTAGTGTATCTGTATGTCTGTGTGCATCTCTATGTCTCTATGTGTATCTCTGTGCACATGTGTATCTGTGTATATCTCTGTGTTTGTATGTCTGTGTTGCAGGTGTGCATATGTGTATTTGTGTGTACATGTATGTTTATCTACATATGTCTGTGTGTCTCTGTGGTGCATGCTTGTGTCTATGTATGTCTCTGTGTATATATGCCTATGTTGTGTTGTACATGTGTGTGTATTTGAGAGTACATGTGTTGTTCAGTGTATATGCCTTATGTGGGTCTGTATGTTTGTGGGAGTCTATTTGCACGTTAGTGTGTCCATGTTTGTGTGAGTCTGTGTATATGTCCTGTGTGAGTGCATATTGGTTTGTGTGTGTCTGTGTATATGTCTATTTATATGTCTCTGTGTGAATGTGTGTGTCTATGGACATACCTGTGTCTGTGTATCTGTTTGTGTCTCTGTTGTCATTGTGTGTACATACTTGTGTGTCGGTTTATATGTTGGTGTATCTGTATGTCTGTGTATCTATGTGTGTATCTATGTCTCTATGACTGTTTTGTGTCTTGTGTATAAATGTGGGTGTATTTATGAGTAAATGTTTGTGTGGATACTAGCATATGTCTCTGTGTATATGGTTCTGTCTGTGTATACGTCTCTGTGTGTCTGCATATCTATATGTCTCGGTGTGTGCATTGTGTGTCTATATCTGTTTGTGTGTCTCTGTATATATTACTGTGTCTGTATGTGCGTGTGTTTTTCCGTATATGTTTCTGTGTGTCTCTTGTGTGTATGTGGGTGTGTACCTGTGTATATATCTCAGTGTGTATTTCTGTGTGCAAATCTGTATGTATATACGTTTGAATTGTGTGCAAGAGTATGTCTGTGTATATTTGTGTCTCTGTTGTGCATGTGTCCACCTTTATATATCTGATTGTGAATATGTGTGATTCTGTGTGTGCATGTGTGTCTGACCATATGTGAGTATCCAGTGTATGTGTCTGTGTTCTGTGTGTGCAGATGTATTTGTGTCTCTGTGTATATCTGTGTGTGCGTGTGTTTGTGTCTATATATATTTGTCTTTATGCATAAATGTGTTGTGTGTCTATGTTGTATGTTTGTCTGTATACATCTTTGTGTCTGTGTAATACTGTGTTTCTGTATGTTTTATCTTCTGTGTGCATGTGTGTCCACATGTGTGTATATGCCTGTGTCTGTGTTGTATATATGAGCATGTGTGTATCTGTGGGTATATATCTGTGTATTTATGTCTGTGTGAATGTGTGTCTGAGCATATGCCCATATATGTCTTTTGTGTGCTTGTGTCTGTGTGTATGTATTTGTGTGTCTGTGTGTACATGTCTGTGTATGTTTATGTGCTCATGCATTGTGTCTTTGTATATATCTGTGTGTATATATGTGTGTATATGTGCATTTCTTTATGTTTGTATGTGTCTTGTGTCCTTGTGGATGCCTCTTTGTATATGTCTGAGTCTCTCTGTGTGCACCTGTATATGCGTTTGTGTATATCTCTGTGTGTCTGTGATCATGTCTATGTGTCTATGTATATATCTACGTGCCTATGTGTCTCTGTTTATATAAGTGAGTGTCCCTGTGTGTGTGTTGTCTGTGAATATCTTATTTTTGTGTGTCTAACTATATGTCTGTGCATATGGGTGTACTGTTGATGTGGGCAGTTTGTGTCGCTGAATGAATGTATAAGTGTGTATAAATATCTGTGTGTATCTGCATATGTCTGTGTGTTCATATAAATATCTGTGTCTGTGTTCCTTTGTGTACATCTGTAGGTCTTTGTATGTGTGTGTCTGTGTAAATGTCAGTGTGTGTGCCTATGTTTCTATGGTTTCTATGGTTAGCTCTGTCTGTGTTTCAGTGTATATGTCTGTGTGTCTGTACGTCAGTGTGCACATATATCCGCATATGTCTGTGTTATATATCTGTTTCTCTGTGTCTGTGTCTGTCTCTCTGTATATGCGCATGTGTGTGAGTTTATGTAGACATCTTTGTTGTGTTTGTGCATGTGTGGGTGTGTCTGTGTGTGACTGTGAATGTGTATATGTTTGTGCCTGTGTATGTCTGTGTGTCTCTGTGAATGTGTCTATGTTTGTGCCAGTGTATGTCTGTGTGTATTTGTGTGTGTGCGTATCTGCATTGTGTATATACCGTGTGTGACTGTGTGTATTTGTCTATATGTATGTGTCTGTTTATGTCTGTGTATGTCTGGGTGAGCGTGTGTGTGCACTGTGTGTGTTTCTATATATGTCTGTATTGTTTCTCTGTGCTCATGTATTTTACATGGAAGTCTGTGTCTCTGGATGTGTGTGGGGAATGTTTTTCTGTGTATATGTCTGTGTGACTACCTGTTTGTGTGTCTGTGTACATAAGTGTACGAGTCTGTGAGTGTGTCTGTGTGCACTTGTGTATTTATAACTTTGAATGTCTAGAAGTATGTGTGTTGATGTGTGTGTCTGAGTGTCGGAGATTCTGTATTTATGTCGGTGTAAGTGTATGTACATGACTGTGTGCATGTCTGTGTCTCTTTGCGTGCACGCATGCTCCGGGTGTGTCTGAGGATGTCTGTGTCTCTGTGTGTGAGCGTGTCTGTATGTGACTGTGTCTGTGTCTATAACCAATTGTGTCTACCTTATGTCTATTCGTGTCTGTTTGGGCATAGGTTGTATGTGTATACATTTATGTGTGTCTATGTGTGATTGTGTCTGGGCGTGTTATGTATATATTATGTGTCTCTTTGTATCTGTGTACATGTTTGATTGTGTTGTGTGTCTGTGTATGTCACTGTGTGTATGTGTCTGTGTGTATATATGTCTTTATGTCTGTGTGCATGTGTATACGCCTGTTTGTGTCTTTGTGTTGCACTAGATGTATCCTGTGAATGTTTGTGTATCTATCTCTGTGTATATTTGTGTGTATATGTGTGTCTATATGTGCATGTGTGAGCCTGTCTGTACATCTGTATGTCTTCGTGTGCACAGGTAGATCAGCGTCTATATCTGTGTATGTATCTGTCTGCGTTTGTGTAAATGTCTGTTTGTGTATCTTCGTGTGTCTATTTACATGTCTGAGTGTGTCTGTGTGTATATATGTATCTGTGTATATTTCTGTGTGCACATTTCTGGCCCCTCTCCTCCAGGCCTTTCTTACACTCGGCCACCAGGCTGCTCTTGCTCATCTGCAGCTCGTCCACCAGGGCCAGCAGCCCCAGCTTGGCGACCTGCAGCGCGTCCTTCTCCGCACAGACCCTCTTGAGTTCCTGCTGCACCGCCCTGCCCTCCTTGAGCACTTTCTCTTTCTCCGCATCGCGGGCTTCTTGGCTGAGCCACTGCTGCTGTCAGAGCTTCTCCGTGGTGCGCCTGGCCTCAATGATCTTCTCTTTGTCTAAGAGAATCGCTTGGTTCATCAGCCAGAGCTTCCTCTGCTCTTCCCGCAGCGAAGAGTTTTTGGCCTCCGCTTCTGTGAGCTTCAATAGCAGCGACCCTCTCTCTGACTTCAGAGAGAGCTTCTCCTTCGCCAGCAATTGATTCTCTGACCTCAGGGCCCTGCGATCATCCCACATCAGCAAAATTTCCTCTTTGGCTGAGGTTAATAAGTAAGTTAATGACTACAGAAACAAAAAGCAGGGAAGAATGGAAACAAGACTGAGAACAAGCAGGCACAAGCAAGCCAAGCACTTCATGTGGCCTAAATACCAGAAATGAAAATCTCAGAGTAGTCTTAACTGCGCAAGTGCGCGCGCGCGCGCACACACACACACACACACACACGCACGCACGCACGCACGCACGCAGGATTGAGAGGCTCTAACACAGTTAGCTTCACAGGGTCAACATACTGACCTGCCTATTTGGGGGATGGGGGCCCCACACCTGGTGGTGTTCAGGTCTCGCTCAGGATTTTGTGCTCAGGGATCACTGCTGGCAGGGCCGGAGGACCATACGGGATGCTGGGGATCAATCCCCGGTTGACCGAGTACAAGGCAGCACTACCCATTCTACTATCAGCCTATTTTATTTTTTAAAAGCCGTCTGAAATTATTTCTGACAGCTCCCTGGAAGATTTACGTACAGTTGGATCAGAGGGGTTCCGAACCCAGGAGGCAAGCTCTGCTGGGGGATCCCAGGATGGCCCCCAGATACCGGCACTCTCTGCGGAAAACTCCGACGCCGTGCCCAGCAGGGGCAGGCTGGCCGCTCTGCTAAGCGTTAACAGTGCAAGAGTCAAAGCTGAATGGTGGGGCTGGAGCGATAGCCCAGTGGGAAGGGCGTTTGCCTTGCATGTGGCAGACCCAGGTTGGATTCCCAGCATCCCACTGGGTACCCCGAGCACCGCCAGGAGTAATTTCTGAGTGCAGGGCCAGGAGGAAGCCCTGAACATCTCCGGGTATAACACCCCCCCCCCCACTAAATAATAAAACTGAATAGTTCTAAACATGCCCACAAAAGGTTTGTCTTGAAACACTCGTTCTTTATCCGGCAGCTATGCAGAGGGAAGAAGACAAGGGCTGGAAGCGGCAGAGGGGGAGCCTGCCGTGAGTGGCCGACCTGGGTTCCACCCCAGCACCCCATTATGACCCGGCAGCTGTGCCAGGAGTGACCCCTGAGCAGCCCCAGGAGGGGCCCTAAGACAAAACAGAGAAACTTCTCTCCATGTGACACAGGTCAGCTGTCCTTCCTCAGATGGGGACTATTTCCGCTACCTGGGACTGGCCGTGCCACAAGCAACCCACCACCTTTTCTTCACAAATCACACAAAAAAGTGGGTGACGCTGCGACCATCCTATTGAGCAGCTGACTTGAGGGTCCATGAAGGAGCCTGAGAGATCTCAGAGAGGGCCTCAGACAGAATTCTGGGAGGGTGACTCGCGGTTGCAGGCATCACCACAGAACCTTCCGGAAAAGCAGCCCGACACACCCACTTCTCCTGCAGGCGTAGTTCATCATTCATTCTCGTCAGCTGTGACGAGTTTTCCCCGGACATTTTCACGATGTCCGCGATGTCGTTTTCCACCTTGGCCTTTGCCTTCGTCGACTGCTCTTCTCGCACATCTCTCTCTTTGAATTTGGCCTCCATATCTGAGGGGAGGGGAGGAGGGGGCGAGGGAGGGAGGGAGGGAGGGAAGGAGGGAGAGGGACAGAGGGAGAGAGAAAGTCAGGGAGAGATGCAGGGAGGGTAGGGGGGGAGAACAGCGTTGGGGTGTCGTAGGCAACAAAGCGTTCCCTGCGCTTCTGTCCCAGGCCTCCCTCCGAGGACGTTTCACTCTCTGGCCCCTGAAAACTGCTCGAACCGAGCAGCAGCCAGTGAAACCAAGGACAACTCACAAGACGGGGAAGAAACACAGGCAGCGAGCAAAGGATGGGGCCAGGACGGGGGTCCGACCGTACAAGCGCCTCATAGATGGCCCTCATGAGAGAACCTGGGGCAGCATTTGACAGTCGTCCCAGGGCCACGGTGGCCGGAGTGTCACAGGGCCCCAGGAACTGATAGGGGGGGTGGGAGGGAGGGGGACTGGGACCTGCTGTGGGGGCTCCCTAAGGGAGGACAGGAGGCTGAGGAGGGGCCGTGGGAGCGTCAGTAGGGAGGCACCTCACGCCCGGGGTGACCCTGCACGACACCCGGAGATCATCTCTTACCTGTTCGACTTCCTCGCAACTTCTCCAGTTCAGAAGACAGCGCCTTAAACTGTTCTTCTTTTTGATGTAACTTATCAACAGATTCTAGTTAGGATAAAGTTAGAAGTTTAATATATTTCACGCACCATCGGGATTATTTGAGAGTCTGTCTGGCAGGCTCCATCAAATCTCACACTGGAGTTTGAGGTCACGGGGGGGGGGGGGGGGGGGGTGGCGATAAAGCATCTCTACGGGAGAAGCCCCCGGCCGAGGGCAACACCAGGAGGTTTCGGCATGGAGACGGCGGGTCTGGCGCCAGGAGGAACTCGGGGTCTTGGCTGGGGGCATCCCAAAATCTTCCCACCCGGCCAGCTCCCTGCCAGGTCACACAGCACTTTCCCAAGCACACCAGCATGTCACCACAAACAGTGATGTAGGGACTATGATGCCACCAGCAGGTCAACCTGTACCTGCGGGGAGATTGCATCAGCAGCCTGATGGTGCCTGCAGACTTCCAGATACCCCAAAATTGCTCCTGTGCCTTTGGTCAGACCCCAACAACTTGGGGTCAAGTTTACCAAGAAATTAAACAGACAAAAGTTCAGTATGTGGGAGACACACCCACAAACCACTATATAAGCTTTATAAGCTATATAAGCTCATCTATTGGCTTTATTTCAGAGACCCATACATCTCGAAACAGATCAAAAGATGCAGTTAGGGTCAGTGGCCCGGAGGTAAACGGGAACCCGTGACTGAGAGCTCCAGGCTTGCTCAGATCAGGACTGGGCCTCCTCCCACCACATTCCCAGTTTTCCAGTAGCTTGGCAGTCACACCCACAAACTGCCCCCCAGCACAATGTAATCTCATCAATGGCCAAGATCCAGAGACTATACAGTACAACTCCCGGAAGAGAATGACACAGATATTCCTGGTCATTATATTCTAGCCATAAGAAGCAATACGAAACAAATCATCTAGCATTGCCTTTTCAGCAGGTTTGAGCGCTGGTGGGACTGGTGTCAAAATATCGAATGTAACCAAAGTAGAGAGAGAGTATTGGGGAACTTGTCTGCCTGCCACACAGGCAGGAGAATGGTTGGCAGAGGCGTGGGGCTGGTGGAATACTGGGGATTTTGGTGGTGGAAAAGGTGCACTGGTGATGGGACGGGTGTTTGATGATTGTATGACCGAAACTCAAACATGAAAGCTTTGTAACTCTATCTCACATGAATCATAAAAAGGAGGGAAATATAATAATATGGAAAATAATAAAATAAAATTAACATTCAGAACAGAATTTTAAAAAAATAAGTAATGTGGAGTACATGCCCAATTAAATCAGCTCAATCAATGGCTGAATAATTAGTAGTACTCCTACATTATTAACAAAAAAAATAAATTAAAAAAAACAATGTGTATGTGTGTGATGTGTGTGTGGGGGGGGGCTTTGTGCGCGCACATGCTACGCCCAGGGTACCTCCTGGCTCTACACTCAGGGATCAGCCTGCTGGTATCAGGGATGGATACCAGCTTGGCAGTAAGCAAGGCAAGTGCCTGGCCTGCTCGCATCTCTGGGAATGAACTTTAAGTCAAAGAGGAAAGAGCCGGAGCAAGTCAGCTGCGGGAAACGAGCGGGCAGAGCCCTGAGCGTGGCCCCCCAGAGTCCCGCCCCGGCACAGCCACCTGGTGGCCCGCACCCACCTTGCATGTTTTTCTGAACAGAGGCTGACTCTTCTGAAGCCTCTGCGACTTTTCTTTCTAGAGAAACAGAATCAGATATTCAGACCAGGTGGTTGCAAAGCAGCTTCCAATCAACAACATGGGAGACACTCCATTTTGTGATGCTGTTCATGGAAATGAACTTGCACTCCAAACGTAGATATTGGGGGCTGAAGGGCTGGCACAGGGTCCAGATGCCCGAGTCCAGCCAGCCGGTTAGACCCTGAGCCAGGAGTACCACCGAGTTAGGGGGGAGCCCCAATAAACACGGTGAACATCTGGGGGCTGGGAGAGAGCACTGGGTAAGGCCACTTGGCCCTGCTTGAATCGCGGCACTAACAGGAATATCCTGAGCACAAAGCCAGGAGTCGCCTCCAAGGACTGACACGCATGCCACTAGTCCCCCACCACTACAACCAAATAAAAAAATATATATATATATATATATATATATATACACACACACACCAGGGCCAGAGCAATAGCCCAGCGGGGAGGGTGTTTGTCTTGCACAAGGCTGACCCGCCTTTGATCCCTAGCATCCCATAGCGGATGCACCGTCAGTAGTAATTCCTGAGTGCAGAGCCAGGAGTGACCCCTGAACATCCCCAACTGTGACAAAAAAAGACAAAAAACAACAAGAACTACAACAAGAACAAAAAAACCCAGAAAACAAAAATAATCCACCCCAAACTCAGCTATCAATGCCCAGTGTGTATCTGCCTGGCAAACATGAGTGAGTTGTGCAAGTATGTATGTACTTGCTTGCATGTCCAAGGACATGTATGAGTCTGCACATGCACAGAAGCCCATGTGTGTATACTGGGGTGTGTGCATGGCTGTGGACACACGTGTGTACACATGTTCTCGACCACACACAGATAGAATGTGATGCCGCTTGTGCTTGGCCCATGCTTCCCCAGCAAGGACGCTTCCCTTGGAATCCTCCTGCAGGTTCTGAAAGGCTCCTAAGTGCTCAGTCCCGGGTCCTGACAGGATCCAGTCAGCACTGTCTCAGCAGAAAGGCCCGGCTCACCCAGGCCCAGAGACAGAGTGACAGGACAGCGGGAAGGGCATTTGCCTTGCACATGGCTGACCCAGGTTCAATCCCCAGATCCCATTGGGTCCCCAAAACTCCACCAGGAGTAATTCCTGTGTGCAGAGCTGGGAGTAACGTCTGAGCATCACCAGGTGTGACCCCAAAAGCCAAAAACAAAAACAAAAACAACGAGATGCTTTAGGTGTTTTGCTTTGTATGTATTCAACCCAGGTTCAATCCCCACCATTCCACGTGGTCCCCTGAGGGCCACCAGGAATGATTCTTGAGTACAGAGCCAGGAGAAAGTCTCAGCACAGCTGAATACAAGAAAACCCAAGACACAAACCAAAAAAACAAATACAAACAAAAAAATACTAAAAAGAAAACACACTTTGATCCAGTGCAGGAAGGTGTCTGGAAGGTTCCAGAAAAGCGGCCTTCCCAGCGAATGTCTCTCACCCCCCTCCCCTTGCTGTGAGCCCCCAGTGCTCCCAGCTGGCAGGGGAGACAGAGCTGAGGGGGCAGGGGGCGCTTCTGAGGGGAGCAAGGAGCCCGGCACTCCGGGAGCATCGCTGGCCGGTCACTGATCAGGGAGAGGCAGAGGGCATAGCGGAGACAGAGCAGCGCACCTACCTTTGCTGCCCCAACGGGGGCTCGCGCAGCCCCTGGGGTTTCCAGCTGACACGCTCGTGAGCCTCAGAGGCCACAGGGCCGAGCTCGCCTGAGGAGGCTTCGCTGTACCCTCAGCAAGGTAAAGATCAGCGTCCGGCTCCCCTGGTACTCACCAAACTCCGAAGCTCTTTCTCCAAAGCCTCGTTCATTTGGCTGGCGGAGAGACGGTACAAAGGGCTGGAGTACACACCAGGTCCGAGGTAGAACTGCAGCACCACTGGGCGTGCCTGAGATCGATCCACAAGCTGAAAAGACCCAGTACTGCTGGGCGGGAGGACCCCAGAGCCGAGAGCATGGCTTGGCGAGGAAGAAGGAAGTAAGCAAGGGAGGAGGGAGGCTAAGGATAGGAAGGAGGGAGGGAAGAAACAGGGAAGAAAGGGAAAGGGATGGGAGGGAGGGAAGAAAAGATTCTCTTTTTTTTTTTTTTTGGCCCGCTCGAGCTAATTGATGAACAACGGGAAGACAGTGACAATGACAGTGACCCTATGGGATGCTGGAGATCGAACTCACGTAGGCCGTGTGCAAGGCAAATGCCCTTCCCACTGTACTATCACTCTGGCCCCCAAGATTTACTTTCTTGTAATTTCTTGTCTGTGACTTTAAAAGTCTGAGGGGTTTCAATATGAAATTTAAATTGAAGAACCTCTAATCCACTAGACAGCAGTCACCAGAACTTGACGTTGGTTACATCTTGATGTGAACAAGTGGGTCAACTATCCCCTGCTGTGTCCTAGGAATTGATTCCGTTTGTTTGTGGAATGCCAGCTAAGGAGTCCTGAGTCCTGAGAGGAACTCCCGGGGGTCTCTGGGTCCTTCTGTTATGTCTGTCAGTCCTGTCTACAAATCCCACAGCCCTTCCATCTTGGCCAACAGAGAAGTTTCTCCAACAAAGCTCCCAGCGCCGGGGGGGGGGGGGGGGGGGGGGCGTCCCTGCCACCACAATCCTATAGGAGGAAATGGGCATTTCTCAGGGCTCCTTGGTGAGAACTGCAGCTCGCGCGGCTTGGCTCAGAACCACTGTCTTGTCCTTCCCCAAGGTCAGGGCTACTGATGTGGGCAAGTAGACAGGGAAAGGCCCTTTGCAGTGAAACACAATTTCATGGAAGAAGAATTCTAGGAAGGACCCACCTTGTGGATACAGAAAGCAAAGGCCTGATAAGACCATCCGCAGACACTCAGGATATAGGCCTCCCCATGAAATTCCTCTTTTTGGACCTCCCTGGTAACCCCTCTTGAGATGTGTCCTTTCATGCTTTCGCCTCTCTCTCTCTCTCTCTCTCTCTCTCTCTCTCTCTCTCTCTCTCTCTCTCTCTCCCCCTCCACACCTAAAAATCCTCCAAATAAAATTTGTTTTACTACTTGTCTACTCCTGAAATTCCTTTCTGTGAGGCGAGACAAGAACCCAGTAACCCTGGGTCCTGGGTGGCAGAGGCGGGTGGGGAGAAAGTGACCATCTTTCTCCTCCCCGCTTCACATAAGTCACCCGTGGGGCCCACCGACATCAGATGGCGGCCACGAAGGGACAGGCAGTGAAGAAGTCCACGAGGAAGGAGGTAATCATTGGAAAATCTGCTGTGGAGGTTGAAAGAATCCATATTAGGGCATCAAATTTTTGTGTACTTCAGCTAACTTGCAACATTGCTTTCTGTAAAACTGCTTGGCTGCTTTGCA